AATATCCCGGAATCGCTTCTTGGTAAAATGCAAAATCCTCAGATCCCATCAATGGTTTCATGTCTTGAACTTTGTCATTGCCAAGCATATTCCCTGCAACGTTCAGGAAAAGCTCGTGCAAGTCCTCGTCATTTACGGTCGGAGGGAAAAGGGGTACCGGTTTATCATGAAAATCGATGGTTGCATTGCACCTTTGCACGGCAGCTTGCCCTTTGATAACCTGCCAACTTGAGTAAATCAGGCTTCTGGGATAGTAAAACCATAACATATATGAACCTTTTTCGAAACTCAATCATTCACGGAGCTTTTCTTGTCTATTTACCTCCTCGATCCTCTGCTTAAGTTGTACTAAACTCGATTTCAAAAATGCTCGGAAGGTCCCTCCGATAGTAACAGAATCTGGTATAACATTGAAAGCGCTCCCTCCTTGAAACTTTGCAACTGTCACCACCTACAAGCAAATAGTATCACAAAAAAGTACGCATTTGAAGAAAGGAGGCAACAACATGAGCCAAAGCATTTCCTAATGTTGCATAGAAAGCAAAGGACCAATGTACCTGGGAATCCAATGGATCAGCTTCACGCGAAACAAGTTGATGTAGGCTGACAATAACATTCGAGGCTGCCAAAATCGGGTCTATCGAATGTTGAGGAATGGCCGCATGGCCTCCTCTTCCACTTATCACAGCATTGAAGATACCGCTTCCAGCTAATAAAGGACCCGGCTTGGAGGCCACAGTACCAATTGGATTCTCATGCGTAACATGCAGTCCAAAGATTGCATCAACATTGTCTAACACACCTTCATCTAGCATCTTCTTCGCCCCTCCACCGCCTTCCTCTGCTGGTTGGAAAACAAGAACAACTGTACCCTGATTAACAAACAAAACCAAACAGCATCAAGTATCTCATATGGGAAACAAGCAAGCTAACGGGCCTAACACACTCGAAACCGTCGAGCCACAAGGTGACTATCTGCAGGCAAACTGATACCAACAACAGAATCACAGGCTAAATTGACAATAAGCTATATTCTGCGGTCGGTTTATCGACGATTACTTCTGTTCGAATTGGAACATACTATAAGCATAAACAAGAGATCTAAAAACCCAACTTAAAGGCTCAATGACATCGATTTCGATAAACAAATTAACAACCAAAATTTGCTTAAGAGGGAAATAGCATTTGGCACCATTACTAACGCAAAATCATGAGCAGCAGACCGATAATTCAATCATAAAACAAACGACTAATAATAAATATGCCAAGAGAAAATTAAAATGACACACACACACCTTCAACTCTTCAATATGCTCTTTTAGTATTTTTGCAGCACCAAGAAGCATAGAAACATGAGCATCGTGCCCACAAGCATGCATCTTTCCAGGAATTTTACTCTTGTGCTTCCAATCCACATCTTCCTGCACATTTCAACAACTCATTAATAGAAGAAGTTATAGTTGATCAAAACTCAATGACGACCAACACTAACCCAGAAAGATGTGAAGAAACTGAAAAATTTTCAAACCTGAATAGGGAGAGCATCCATGTCCGCCCTTATAGCAACAAAAGGGGGTTTACCGGTCCCAACAAAGCCAACAACACCAGTGACTGAAACAGGGTAATTATAAGGAATCCCCAGTTTATCCAATTCTGATCTGATCAACTTACTAGTCTCAAATTCCTCATACCCCAATTCAGGATTCTCGTGTATTTTCCTCCTGATTCCAACCATCCAATCAACAAGCTCCTTTCGTTTAGCGAAATCGAGGAACTTTTTGGGGATTTCAGATAAACCATCGGAAGAGCTTGAAGACGATCCAAAAACAACTGTTGGATTAAGGAGATGAAATATCAGAACCAAAGAGACCAACTTGGAGAAACCCATGCTTGTTTTCATGGAAAGAATCAAGCTTTAAAATAATTGATTGAGGAGACAGCGGTGGAAATGTCCAAAACGCTCGTCACTCCTACTGTGCTTTTCAGTTGTCTGCGTTATAAAAAGCTGTAGGCGACTTTATAGATAGAGATTAGATAGCTGTAGTTATCGCCGGCCACATCAGCTACACGTGCTTAATTATCAGCTACACGTTTTTTTAACGGACAGCTTCCTCGAAATGTAAGAGATGTACTGCGCCGTTTGTTCATCTAAATTATGCATTACAGATTAATGTTAAGCTATATTATACTTTTATTCTTTCTTCTAAATCTAATGATAAATTAAAATTTAATTAAATATGTCAACTCGATAATTATTATTAATTTTCATAAATTATAATTTAATTGGAAAATAAATGTTTAATTTATATTTTAATTTAAATATTTTAAAAATTATTAAATTAAATGTCTAATATTTTTAAAATTATCGCTTTAAAGTCAATTTTAAGACTTTCGTTACATGGTTCATTTATTAATTTTTGAAATTTTATTTAAAATTTTAAGATTAAAAAAATTAAAATTTGTTATCATCTTCTATCGCCGCCGTCGTGGTCATTGAATGTCCATCCACTTTGGTAGCAACTAATGAAATTTGAAGATTAGAATTTTAGAAATTTTAAGAATTAAAATTTTATTAATTTTAGAGTGACTTGAGAAAAATAATAGAAGTTAGGTTTTTAAAAATTTAAAATTTATTTTTAAAAAAATTAAAAATATGTGTCGAACACTGATTGATTGTCTGATTTTTAACGATCGTAATGAAATTAACCTTAAAATGATAATTCCAAAAACGTTACACACCTAATTTGATTGATTTAAAATAAGTAAGAGATATATTTTTAGACATTTATTTTCTATTTAAACTTAAAATTATTAATAATTATGGATGAATTTATTAGTTTATTTTTAAATATAATACCCAAATTTTTCATTAAAATGATAATTAATTTAAAAAAAAATTAGCTGACCATATTCTCATATGTAATGGGGTGAGGGGAGGTAAGATAGTAGGTTGCCCCCAACGTCAGATTGAGAGCAGCTTCTATGGAAGACATCCGGCAGTCAAAATTATGAATTGTCCACCGTTAGACTCGATCCCACAACCATAAAATTAAGAGCCTTGCGCTTTACCAATTGAGCTGGACGGACAATTCAAAATGATAATGATAATTAATTTGTTTTATCTTAATCCACGGCACGGTCTTTGTCATTGGGGGTGTACATACATGATGTGTTTGGTCCGAAATTATAGCGACCCCAAAGGCAAGGACATCTTCAATTACCAAACTGGACAAGCATTTTGGGAAACGTGCCCTAAAGTCATTTCAATTTTTGAACTACACGTATCTTAAAAGCCGACCCTTAATTGAAGAAATTAGAGACAATTTCCATGCAATTCATTCCACCATTTGCTAATTGCTCATGCCTAAAGTATGGTTAATGTGTAATTTTATAATAGTTTAGACGATTATAAGATAATATTTATTTTTATTAAATTAAGGTGATTATTATATGTTTTAAATATTCTCATTCATTTGATAATGAACGTTCAATCACCCTGCTACAGTCAATGGTACTCGAATACGTGAGTTCAAGAAACAACAACGATTCTTTTAATCACCGAAGTAAGTTGGTTCGTGCATTTATTTAAAAATTTTAGTCATTGATAATGTATATATATTCTATATATATATAATTGGAAAATAACATTTTATTTTACTACTAAAATCATTCAATGAATTTAACTAGTGGATAATATTAAATTGAAATAATATGAGCTTAAATTAATAAAATTATTTTATTTAATTCATTAATTATATTTATAATTTTCTTTATTATTTTAATAGTTTTTAATATTTTTAAACAATTTTTTTAATATATATATAATTCATAACTTATTTTTAAGATTATAATTTGTTAGATTAAATAGTGATGCTTTTGTTGAACTATAATTATTAGATGAATAATTCATTATGTATAAGCTCACATGCTCTACTCTATTATTTAGATTAAATAATGTTATGATTAATCTATAATAAATACAAGATATTGATATTATAATTTCAAACTTTTAAAAACTTTTATTTTAGTCAGTGTAATTTTATTTTATTTTTCCCTAAAGTGTTATGATATAGTTATTTTTTAAACATTAACATAGTTTAAATATTTTTTTCATGGACTCTGAAGTGTTCCAATGGTTAAGGGAGTTTTGTTATTCTCTAGTGATTCAAGTTCGAGAGTAATCTGTATTGAGTTTAGATCTAAATCTTTAAAAAAAAAAAAGTTTTTTTCGTTTCACTTAAATACTCTAGTTTTTGAAAAGTTTTATTTTGGTATTGTAATTTCACTTTCTTTCAATTTAGTCCCAAAATTGGGGAAAAAAATTAAGTCTAAATAATTTTTGGGCTCACTATTTTCCCTTCATTTAGCCCACATAATGCAAACAGCTTGTTTTTCTTCCGTGAAATTCGTGGAGATTTGATGAAGGTAAGCTTGATTTTGAACCACCAAAATCAGAAAGTAAACCCTAGATTCCATGAGGAAGATGTTCGCACAACATGACAATTTCGATTACAATATTGCAAGTCATTGTTTATGAAGAATATTGCCACTATCAACACAAACTCTAACCTCTACCACCCAAACTTCTTTTAATCTCTTAGGAATTCATTGTGACTGATTGATACAATTTGTTTGAAGGCAGCAAGATTATTATTCGAATTATGTTTAATTCAGTTTAAAAATTTACGATTCAATTCAATCGATCAAAATTTATTTTAAAAGAAATTTCGTAGACTGAATTACTTTTTATTCACAATCGAATTACTTGACTCGATGATTATTTGTGAAAATGTTTATTTTGTTGGTATAATCACTAGTACTCAGACTAGATGTTGCAAAGATTTATCCCTCCCAACTCAATTTTCTTTATTCATAATTTTAGAATCTGAAATTTTGATCAAAGATTAGTGTCTCGTCTTGTTAGATCAATCAATAGATAGTTCTGGAAATGTTTTTTTGACGAACCAAAACAAAGGCAAAAGCATTATTCCCAATTCTCATGAAGTGCTGGAAATGGCATCTGATTCCATTTTCTTTCTATACGAGCACCATTTGTTTTCCACTCTATAAACTAATCTTCTTTGTTTAATCCAAATTCAGCATCTTGTCTTCCAACTTCGGCTGGTTCATATGGTGAGAAAATCCTAAATAACTTAGTGCTTTTCTCCTTGATTGGATTCTTATATAATTGGTTATATAGTTAACTTTGCATATGGAACTTCCATTTACAGGAAGGTGGCAAGGATCAGTCAAGCAGTAAGAAAAAAATGAGTTTGATGGTAGGACCATGGGGAGGAAATGGTGGAACTGCTTGGGACGATGGAATTTATCACGGCGTAAGAGAAATCACACTCGTTTACGATCGCTGCATCGACTCAATCAAAGTGATTTACGATAAGAACGATAAGCCTGTTGCGGTAGAGAAACACGGCGGTGTAGGAGGAAGCAAGACAGCTGAGGTTAGCCTAAGAACCTCTCCCTTTTTCTTTTGATGTGTCATGCTCATTATAATTACGCTCAAGACATTGTTTTTTTATTGCTTTAATTGCTATCTAGATTAAGCTGAAATTCCCAGAAGAATTCTTAGTCAGTGTAACTGGTCACTACTGTCCTGTGGTTCATGGTGGTAGCCCTGTGATTCGATCGCTCACGTTTAAGAGTAACCAAAGAACATTCGGTCCGTATGGAGTCGAAGAAGGAACGCCCTTCTCTTTCTCTGTAGAGGGAGGACGAATCGCGGGGTTCAATGGGAGAAGTGGATGGTACCTTGATTCGGTCGGATTCCGTCTGTCTCGTGTTCAGTCTCCTAAACTCTTTCAGAAGGTGCAGAAAGGATTTCAAAGGCTTACAAGTAGTGTCTCAAAAGCCTCTGCCTAGCCTTGAGGATTGTCAAATGTCCCCTTCCCTTTAACGCGCAGTCAAAAGTTCAGACTACCTTATATATGTGAATATACACACATATATGCTGGATTGTGTTGTCCTTGGTTTGCTATTTGATGTCAGTAAAGATATGGATTAGTGTTTAACTAGTTTTTTTTTCATAAAAATGAGCAAATTAAGATAAAGGATCCTAACTCTAACTGTGAGTTCCATGATTATCAACATTAAGCATTAACCTAATCCATACACTTGATGAACAATAAATGATTAAACCACTTCTCGACCCTCACAATCCCAAGAATCAATACCTTCTTTGACCGTAGGATTAAAGCCAGAAACACCAATACCAACCTCCCTACCAATGCATTCAGACAGATCAAATCACCCCATATGCCACATTCTTACAGGGATTTAGGGCAAAATTTACAGTCAAAATTCAAACTAAAGGCATCAGCTCGTTCATAGGGAACAAGGACATATGACATCGGAAAACATAGACTGAATAAGCAAGATTTACACAAAACAAGATGTTTAAGCAGGAATTATAATCACAAGCTCATTGAATTGCATTCCATGGTTATTTCAACAGCATTTACCTAATCCATTCACTTGATGAATGATCGAAGCACTTATCAACCTTCAGAACCAGAAATGCCTTGTTTAATGGTGCGATTAAGCTGAAACATCTTGGCCGGAAGCATCGACAACAACCTAGCAGACCTCTCTACCAATGCATTCACAAACACTAAATCATCCCACATGCCAACATTCACACAGGAAGCAAACCTCTCTACCAATGCATTCATAAACACTAAATCATCCCACATGCCAAAATTCACACAGGAATTTCAGGGGGAAACCCAATTCAGTAATTATATACACATACAACTAGGTTTTAAAGCATGAATTATAATCCTAAATATCAATCTTAATGTTTATCACAAGTGCATTCGAATGAATTCCGCAGTTTATTTTTAGCCTTAAGCTCAGCAAGGCGCCTCGACAAATAGTCCTCATCAACCTTCTCCTGCTTCTTGGTCGGCACTGCATGAGCAGCAGGCTGTGGCAACCCAACAGAGACCACCAGCCCATAATCATCAGCCACTTGTTGCATCAAGCTGTTGACCTCACCTTCTGGCGTGCACAATGAAGTAGAACCAGACAGTACTCTCCATAAACTCTGCCTGGACCTCCATATTCACAAACTGCTTCTCGAATTTATCCATTGTCTCCGACATTTTCTGCAAATTGCCTGTATCATACCAAAAACCCTCAAATTTAACATATTGATAATCAAAATAAAAAATTCTTTTAAAAAAAATGAAAGCACGGCTAACAAATCCATATCGTATTATTTCATATAAACACTAAATACTTAAAATTTGATACTTTTAATGATAATTTACCGGTGGTCAAGGAAGATTCGAGAGACTTGACGATGTTACCCATGGACTTGTTGATAGTGGTCATCTTTGCCTGGGTATCGAGTCAAATTAATACTTAATTAACTGATAGCGTTAAATTCAGTCAAATTTTAAAAAAACATATAAATGTTTACAATATATTAAATATGAAAAAATAACAAAATATTATAGAGGTAGACTTTTAAGAATAGTTATGTAAAATAATTAAGTTATGCTCACATTATGATTTTTTTTTCACTCTGGGAAATTGATACATGGGCATGTGATGATGATGCAAAAGTGGATTAGTTTATTGGATAATCTGCAATGAATTAGATATTCAAACATGTGATACGTTGACCTCGTTATTAGATATTTCAACACGTGATAATCACATGGGAAATTGGATTATTTTTCTTATATTCACCCTCTTTAAAAATATTATTTCAATACGATACATCTTTGATATTAAAGGCATTCAAGAATACTCTTTCTACATCACATGCCTTTGACATTGCATAATCCCCTCTTTGCAATTTTTTTATTGTTGCCGTTACAAGGCTATGCTTAGACTAACTCGGACCGACCCACGTCGCACACTTAATTTTGGTGGGTAAGTTTCCCAACAAAGATGTTCTGCCTACACAATTTTCTGCATAATCCCCACATTGCAAAATTTTAATATATGATAAATTTTTTAAAATATATATATTAAAATTTTAAGAGTATAGAATAATAAAAATTTAAAGGTATGAAGTTAAATTATTAATAAAAATATCTAAATTACATATGAATTTAAAATTTTTAAGAGGTGTTATTACTCCTAACACCCATTCAGTCAATTCCAAAAATTATATATCTTTAGTATTACTAATCTCTAATATTATAAACCACAGATAAAGCTAGGATTGAATCATGAAGGGGAGAAATTGCTTTTTTTTTAAAAAAAAATTAGGGTCTTAAAAATAATTAAATCATAAAAATTAAAAGATGAAGAGTTTAGCTTCACTAAATTTAAAATTTAAAGGTGTTAAAAAATTAAACCACATAAATTTGAGGTAGAGGCTTAATTCCAATAATTTTAAAACTAACAACGTTGGAAAATGTAAGGGATTAATTATAATGATTTTAAAACTATCAGTGACCCAAAATGTAATTAGACCATCAAAGTTAAAACGAACATCCGTCTCTGTTGTAAACCTTCATCGCTATATGTTTTCAACTTGAGGTTTTATGTCGTCGACTTATCAAATCTAAACTGGCTAATCATTTCATTGTCATATAAGTAAACAAAACAAATTATCAAAAAGTTACACAAGTGAGATAAATATCATGATAATTTTAAATTAACTGTCAGTAACTTCCTCCCTTATCTCATATATCAATTAGTTGTCATATAACATATAAAAACAACTGCAATAAAAGATATAAAAAGAATGACTCATTAATAGATAATATATAAGTGATTAATTCAAAAGAGAGAGAGAATCGATCCTGACAGTTAAAAAATTGATTCTCTCTTTATTTTTTTATTACCGTCAATTTTTAAGGCTTATATATACAAAAGGTGTCCAACGTATGTTTTTGATTCCGGTTTAGTGTTCAACATTTATCTCGTACCAGTTTGGTGCCTAATGTCTCATTCTGTAACTCAAATTGGGTAAGGCCGTGACGGACAGTTTAATTTTGGTTGTTATGTGACATGTGTCATAACCTGGTAATTTTAAAAAATATATTTAAAATTAAAAAAACTAAAATTTTATATATATATATATATATATGTATATATTAAAAAGAAAACAATTTTTGAAATAAATTCAAAACTTTGAAAACCTTCATTTTAACCCCTAAACCCATGCCGACCATCGTCTTTTGCCGCTAGCGAAGCTCCACCCGACCTCTCCTCCCCTCGATGACCGAAAACCCCCTTGAAATCATGAATAATCGATTGTTGATCGACCATCGGAATCGTGTGGGATCGCGATTTTCATCTTATGATTCGTGGGGTATAAAACGTTGATCAACTGTCGATCAATCACAATTTTATGGGGGGCTTTGGTCGCCGAGGGGAGGGGAGGTCGGGTGGAGCTTTTTTGACGGCAAAAGACGGCGGTCGATGTGGGTTTAGGGGTTGAAATGAAGGTTTTTAAAGTTTTGGGTTTATTTCAAAATTTATGTTTTCTTTTTTAAAAATATTTATATTTTTAATTTTTAATTTTAAATATATTTTTTCAAATTACCAGGTTGTGACACGTGTCACTTAACGGTCAAAGTTAATGTCGTTGACGGCCCGATCACCTAAATGAGTAATGGAATGAAATGTTAGACACCAAACTAGAATGAAATAAACTTTAGACACTAAACTGAAACTAAAGGCATACGTTGGGTACCTTTTATATATTTAAGCCAAGTTTTAATTATCTATTAAAGTAATTCTTCAATAAAATTTTCTGGTATATTACCGAGTTGAGCTTATTCTCAAATGAAATGAAGCAAACCGAACCCCTACTTCCTGGAAAGTTCCTGCTGTCTGTTTCGTACAACTTGGAGTTGCAAATAGACCCCTTTTATCTTGTAGTGTCTTAAGGCTCTTCTAATTTGGGTTAGTCTGAGGTATATTATCTATTTTTTTGGTCCAAAAATTTTCACAAATTCATCGTATATATCTACTCTTAAGGTATTGTCTATTTCCCGAAAGTGCTCTCTTGTGATCCAAGTTATTGAACACCCAATCTGACATCACAAAGCAATATGTATTCACCATATATGAATGCTCTGCAACTCTATAAAAACAACACGCAGTGCCGCCATCAATGTCCAGAAACCAAGGTGCCAAGAGAACGATGATATATGAATCTCAAATATCGATTTCATCAACTTCAACACCGTATACATAAAATTGCAGCAACGGGACAGCACAGAAAAATAGACTTGATAATCGGCCAAGTTGGGTATTTTTCTCTGGTTTTTTCAAAAACCAAAAACATAAACAAGCGCATAGAAGGCCGGGACTTTCATGGTTGCCATTGCGTATTCATCATTGGATTCATTATATGGTAGTGCCTTCGGAGGATTACGTACTTTCAAACCTGACTCACCCAAAATACAAACATGCAAACGCTTAAGGGACAAGCCACGTATGACGTGGCGGTCTCTTGTTAAACACTCTTATCTGTCTTTCTCTTCACCTTGAATCTTTTCCCCCAATAGCCGGCGATTCATAACATAGATATATCCTATGCTATGTAGTATGTACCAATCTGTATACATGTAGTTTTTTTTATGTATTTGTACTTAGTTTTTTTAACAAAAAGAAAAAAAATTGCTTCTTAAATAGTGTATTACTGCTAAAGAGACAGCCATCCACTTTTTCCCCCACACTCTCCTCCGGGGCTCTATTAATTAGGCTAAAAAGGTGAAAAATAGTAACCAGTTTAGGCTTATCTTAGTTTTGGAAGAAAATTATTGTCCTTTGAATGTATTTTCTTTGATCCCAAAGACTTTAGGTTGTTTTGCCTTGAAGTAGACACCTTTTTCTCTCTCTGATTAGAGAGACCGATTTGCCCTTTTGAGCTGACACTTAGAGCCCTTTTTTTAGTCATTACGACGAAAGTAAAGATATTACCTTTCGTTACTTTCGAATGCAGGTCGATGGGAGGAAGGGATCCCAAATAGGTTCCTTTTTTAAACCTTATTGGTTCTTTTGAGCTACAGGGTCTAGATTAAGGTGCTTCTTATCTTTCCTTTTGAATTTGGGTTCTGGAAAATGAATGGGATTGAAGAAGAAAACCCTATTGTTTTCGAGATTGCTGTTGTGGTTCCCGGAAGGAGCCTCAAATTAGAAAACGAGGGTTATGATTGTGTTGAGGTTCTTGTTAATGAGTTCAGAAATGTGGGCTTTTTCGTTGACAGAGTTCTTGGCCTCCACGATGAATTTATCAAGGTTTGATTTCTTTCTTTCAAGTTTGAACATTTTCTACGTTGTCCCATGGAATCAATTTTTGCCCTTTTTCGTATTGTGTTTTCTTGAAAATATCGTTATTTTAATAGTTTGTCTCCGTCTGCTGGTTGTTGCAGTTAATCTACAATGATCATCGAAGATGTACTAAGTTTCCCTTTGGCTCCTGCCAAGTGTTTTAGTGTATGAGTTGTACATGCAAATATGTCGTAATTTACATTTTTATCAACAAAAATTTCCTTTTATGCAATCCTGATTTTTATGGGAAAGTTTATTGTATCGTAGTTAATGTTAATGCATTCCTAAAATGATGGGAAACTCCACGGTCTTAATAACTTAAGGTTCCTTGTTAGGAAATGAGATGCATTTAATTGAGGATCAAATTTGCTTGGTAGAACTGAATTAAACATGTTTTTTTACAATGTATAATGTTATTTCTAAAGTTGAATTGATTGCCTATTATGTTTTGTTGCTCAATTTGGATTGTTGTCGAAATTCATTCTTGAATCTTTAGTGACTGTGGTAATATTTAGTTAAGTTGCTTTCTTTCAGCTGGCAGCACCATTAGAGACTTTGGGAGTAGTAGCAGCCAGGCTGCATATGAAGAAGACCACTCATATTGGTAATAATTCTCTGGCTTAGATATTGATGGTTCACTGGTTTCTTTTACTTACCTTCAATTCGATTATACACTTTCTTTGCTGAAAATAGCTAATAATTCTCTGGCTTAGATATTGATGGTAATAATGCTCTGCACTTCAGGAGTTGATTTACCATTTGAGTGGGAAGAGATTGAAGCTTTCATGCGGCAGCCTGATGGCTCTTTATTCAGTTGGTGTGAGCGTTTCCAGTGCTACCGTCACTTGATACATGAAACTGTGAGTTATTTAATGTACTCCCATCTTACTTTCTCGTCTCTAGCTTAACATTACTACTTTATGAGACATGTAGTCTACATTTACAGGTCTTCATTGGGAGGCAGTAAAATTTAGCTTCGCATGGCTTCTTTATCTTCTGGCACCTCCTTTTTTATGTGAACTTTATTTTATGGTGTTTCTCTTTTTTGTGGCATTTAAATTCAAAAACAAATATATGTTTCCTCAATGAGATGCAATCTCTATTGAATTTTATGTTGTTTTACTCAACTATCAACTCATGTTTGAAATGAGCAATGGTTGTAGGTTGTTTTCTCTATTTTAGTTGTTTTAAGCGGCCAGTGCTTATGATGGAATCAATTCGGATATCCACTGTTTTGATGTTCTCTATATAGTGAAAAATGTGCTCTTTTGGAAGGATGTTTTGTGCTGTAGTGTATGTAAAGAAGTCTTCAGATCTGCTATTACTCTCCGAATACCAGTAACCAGATGGAATATTTACAGGTTAATAAGAAGAACTCAGACATAACTTTAAAATTTGATGGCAAAGAGATCCATTGGGAACCTGGGGAATCATTACTGCAGAGGTTGGAACTCGAAGGAATTGTTAAACAAGTTTTCCCTTTACACGGTACTCTTTGTTACGTTTACTAGCAAATTAACTACGGCTCTGATTCCCCCTCTAAGTGCTGAAGTACAATAAATGTTGCCTGTAGATGAAACAAAGAGGAAGAAACTACTGCGGAGTTGGGCATTAAATTGGTGGGACTTGACATCTCAACCAGTTGATGAGATATATGTGTATTACGGGACTAAGGTAATTATAGATTCACGCTAGCAACGTTTTGCATGTTGTTTTTTGCAGTAGTTAGTCTATCACTTAATCGTGGAATTTTTGCATGGTAGATTGCAGTTTATTTTGCCTTTCTTGGAATGTATACACGTTGGATGATTTTTCCAGCTGCTTTTGGTCTCATCTTGCATTTTGTTGATTTCGGGTAAGCTTCGCCTTTCCTTCTTCTCGTTAGCTGAACTGCTTCATCCTTGGTTTTAATTTAGTTTCTTGGGTGTATTGATTTATCCAGATCATTAAAATTGCTAGTATTCCCTGCTTTCTTCATAAGCACAGTATTGTGGGCAGTGTTGTTTTTCCAGTTCTGGAAACGTAAAAACTCTGCACTTTCAGCCAGGTAAACCGATATCATATTGATAGAAGGCCACCTTTCTAAATGACAAGTTTGTTTCTTCAGCTTTTCTTATTTATTTCTCTCTCTCTCTCTCTCTATATATATATATATATATATGCCGGGGTCGTGCAGGTGGCATCTTAATTATTCTGTCGGAACAAGCCATGGATACAAATTATCAGGGAGGGAGTGGAACTGTCTACAGCCTCCCGTGGAACTTGTAAAAGGTTCGGGAATAGATAAAACAAAAGAGAGAGAAGATTTGCAAAGATACGAATGGTTTGGTTATCTCAGACGATTTAGGAACGATGTTTTTGTTATTTTGAGTATCATTTGCCTCCAATTGCCATTTGAGTTGGCTTATGCTCACCTCTATGAGGTCATCGAGTCCGATATTGTGAAGTAAGATCCTACATCTCTTTCCTTTTTTTAATTGTAATTGCTGTTATGGAAGTTCTTTTCCTTCTATAGTATTTAAATCACACGGTTTTTATGTGTGTCATGGTTTTGGTGTCAGGTTCGGTTTAACTGCGGTTTATCTTCTGGTTATTCAGTACTTCACAAAGATCGGGGGGAAGCTATCAATCCGACTCATTAAGCATGAAAACAATGACAGTACCGAAAATCAATCTGACAGTTTGGTCTACAAAGTACGATTAGGAAGTAATATGTCAATTCAGTTTTCCTTCTTTTCTTGTGAAGAAGTTTATTTAACAGGTAATAGTTATGTTTCAGGTGTTCGGTCTTTATTTTATGCAGTCATATATTGGGGTTTTCTATCATGCTCTTTTGCATCGTAACTTAATGACCCTTCGCCAAGTATTGATCCAGCGTCTCATTCTTTACGAGGTAAAGACAATTATTGTTTTTTGTTACTTTGTACTAATTACCTTACAACTTTTTGGACTCAAATGGTTTTGAACTGCAAAATGTCATTAGGTGTTGGAAAATCTATTGGAAAATTCTTTGCCATATCTAAAGTACAGCTATAAAAAGTTTAGAGCTGTTAGGTAAGATTTTCCGATTGTAATGCATCTTAGTGTACCACATAAGTTTACATTTCACTCTAATGCATCTTTGTTGTCAAGAAACAAGAAAAAACGCGAGAAAGGTTTGACTGGAAAGATACAATTCGCTACCAGGGTGGAGAAAGAGTACATGAAACCCACATATTCTGCAAGCATATGTGAAGAACTGGAAGATGGGCTGTTTGATGGTAATGTGCCAAATATGTTTTAAACTAATTGCACTGTTGGAAAGTTGTTCGATGTATTACTTTGATTATAAAGCACCACCCGAGAAGAAGCTTACGGAACGTAGATTTTTCTTCTTACTGAAAGTTTAAACGACGTGCAGATTTTCTGGAGTTGGCACTTCAGTTCGGAATGATCATGATGTTTGCCTGTGCGTTTCCCCTTGCATTTGCATTCTCTGCCTTGGTATACAACACTTTTAACAGCGCTTTCACGATTTGTGTTTTATGGTTTGATGTTGATTTCAGTTTTAAAAATCAACACTAAACTTGATAGTTTGATGATGTATAGAGCAACATCGCCGAAATGAGAACGGATGCCCTGAAGCTGCTTGTGATTTTGAGACGGCCTGTTCCACGAGCCGCTGCTACAATTGGAGCTTGGCTGAACATTTTTCAGGTATTTTCTTTTTACCTTAAAAAACTAAGGTGCCAAGACACCTGCTTAGCATGGGATTTACTGATATCTTTAACTTCAAATTTCAGTTCCTAATATTGATGTCAATATGCACCAATTCTGCACTCTTAGTATGGTTATACGATCAGGAAGGAAAATGGAAAATCGAGCCTGGCCTTGCAGCCATTCTCGTAATGGAACATGTTCTGCTGTTGATCAAATTTGGGTTCTCCCGCTTTGTTCCCGAGGTATCTTCTCCTAGTCAAACACATTATTTCGAAGATGATTGAAAGTATACGAAGCACTGACCTCTTTTTCATATCAGGAACCTGCATGGGTGAGAGCGAAGCGGATGAAGAACGCAACACAAGCTCAAGACATGTGTTCTAAACAGCTTTTGAGGAGCATTTCTGGGGGAGACAAGGCATTTGGGCATTATACTCCGAAAAAAGACATCTGATGGAACAAACAAAACAGATTAATGCCGAAATCACTGGTTTGTATCCTAGAGTTCCATCAGACACATTGCCAAACAAAGATCGACAAAGGCGACGCTTCCATCGATGATTGAATCTAAGCTCACTTTCAAAGATGTATAGGTTTTGCTTTTTGCTTCACTTTTTTCCTCTTGTAAATTCTAGTAGTTTATTCCGGATTCTCCACAACTGTCTGTTTATCTTCGAATCAGTTGAATCTCAAAGCAAGTAGTTTATTTTGGCAGAATCAAACTCTCAATGTATTTCAACAAAAGAAACATAATATTTCAGAGAATCTCGACAAAAGAAACATGATATTTCAGAGAATTTAAACAATCCAAAGAAAACTATATACATGAGAATCCAAATCAGGCATCGACTAAAAAAATATTATATTCAAGGGAAACAGGTCACTGACTGATTCATCTTTGGATTGAACTATACATCACCCAAAGATTTGAAACCATATTTGTTTTGCGTTGGATATCATCAGCGAATTCTCATAATATCTCAGATGCACAGTTCTTCAGCCTTAAATTAACCATAGCTACTGCCTGTGATGACAGCTTCGGGAGCTCCCATGACGTCCGTCACTTCTCTTGGTGCTCCCAAACTTCCCACTAACTTGACGAGCATATGCCACGACAGCCTTAGCCCACCTCTTGATCTCAGCCTTGAACTTGGTCGAATCGAGGTCTTTTAATGATGACACCGGTTCAACCTGAAGCTCCTTGAAGGAGAAACACTGGTTAAACCGTCTCCGTTTTCTGTTTGTATCCGTAGCATTGCTCTTGTCCGTATCAGTAACACTGCTCTTGACGACTTCGTCACCATTGTTAAGAGCCGGAGTTTTGTCGACAGACATGGTTTACATATGTGCTAGGAGGTCCAACGAAGAATATTTGGAGTCGAGATGATTGGTTTGCAGCCATTGATGAAACGTTTATAAGGGTTGGGGTATTAAACTTGTATAAGCAAAGTACAAGGGAACGTGCAGCCAAAGGAATCCTTTGACTTGAACTTTCAACATTCTGATAGGATCTAGGTTCCTATGAAAACTTGGTTAATGCCATAATAAAACCGTGTTCTACACCCTAATCTTGTGTATCTTTTTAAGTGGACAAATTCTATTAAAATACAAGTTTCCTTATTACCAAAAATAATAATAAAATTTGATTTGAAGATTTTGATACGAAATATACAAGTAAAAACTTCCTAACTCGATTATGATGTAAGGCTTTTCATCTCCTGTTTTATTTTTCCCTTTCTACCAATCATAATTCAATTATACAAGTTCAAATAGATCATTTTCAGTAAAGGGTGAGAAATAATTTACCCAAAAGATTTTGTGCTTGAAAGATTATAACTTCCATGAATACGTTTCACAATGCAGCCATTGTATGACAACAAGATAATGACAAGAAAATGCTCAAAATTCTACCATAATACATAATTCGGAAAACAAACTAGCAATGACCATGAATATCTGCTTCACAATCTAGACGTAAAATCCACCACCCCAGCTACAACAACGATTGACAATAAGCCAACTTCAAAAGCCAGTGTAGTCTAGAATGAAAATCGTGGCGCAATACAACTTAAACTTGCCTAGCCTACTTCCTGCCACGTATCTTAAACGCTTGCCTGTTCCTCTTCTTGACACCTGACTTCGCAACTTTCAGACTATTATGCACAGCACTCAGCCTTGCAAGGGCTGCTTTGGTTAAATCCGGCCTGTAGTAGTTTTCTGTCACCTGAAATTATTTCAAGCATAGAGCATTAGGAGGGCAATTTGTAATTGGAATGAATGGTGAGACAACTAAAGACTACATAGGATAAAATTGGAAGAACATTACTGAAAACAAAGAAATCGAATCTCAAAATATCATAGAAAACTACAAAATGATTTCATGAAAAGAATTAATGAATGTCATTGAATATATACATGCTCAATTTCCCCCTTGAAGTTAATGTAGCTAGCTTATGTTATGCCTGCTCTTATGTACCTTCCTCTTTTGCTGTTTTGCGTGATAGGGACATAATACAAAAACAAACATGACAAAAGCTAGCTACATGAACTTTAGAGGAGGGAATTGAGCACATATGCATGCGCATACACAGATTTTCAATGATATTCTAAAATTCTTTTCAGCAAATATTCACTTTTTAAATGTTGGAAGCTCAGAAGCCAAGCGTAACAAGCACATCTCATAGAAGAATCCAACAAATAGATCCTTCTTACATGTTATTGCTTCATCACAGCAACACAAATCTTCCAAAAAAAAATTATATTCCAATATGCACGGAAACCACACCTCTAGACAAATTAAAAAGGGACATAATACAAGAGCAAGCATGACATAAGCTAGCTACATGAACTTTAGAGGAGGGAAATTTCACATACAGACACACATAGTACAGATTTGCAATGATATTCTAAATCCTTTTCACCAAACATGCATTGTTTAAACTTTGGAAGCTCAGAAGCCAAGCGTAACAAGCACATCTCATAGAAGAATCCAACAAATAGATCCTTCTTACATGTTATTGCTTCATCACTGCAAGCCAAATCTTCCAAGAAAACACAAATTTGGATAAGCAATCAAATCACACATCTAGACAAAATAAAAAAGGGACATAATACAAGAGCAAGCATGACATAAGCCAGCTACATAAAGGTTAGAGGGGAAAATTCCACACACAGTGCAGATTTGCAACTATATTCTACAATCCTTCTCATTGAATATGACTGTTTAAACTTTGGAAGCTCAGAAGCCAAGCGTAACAAGTATTTTTCACAGAAGAATCCAACAAATGGATCCTTCTTGCATGTTATTGCTTCATCACTGCAAGAAACAACTTCCAAGAAAAAATAAATTTGAATATGCACACAAACTGAAAAACCACACCTCTAGACAAATGATCATTCAAGAAAGCAATCCAACAACTTTTGCCAGTTGTTTAAGAACTAACACTAAATAAGCATAAGCAAAAAAAATTCTTCTTTCAGCAACAATAACATTAAGCAAGAAAAACAAGATTTTTTTCTGCCAAATATCAATAGCAAAGACCGATGGCTTGTTCCTATATACCTGGTTTTTTACTGCCTTCACCATCCTGGGGAACTCCTTTTTCATGACAGAATTGTGAAGCAAGACCGACGGCTTGTTCTGCTTCTTAGTCTTGGTGGTTGCTAACAGCACAGACTGATCTTTTCCCCCGGGCTGAATGGTTACTGTTTTCTTGTTTGCCAACCCTAAAATTACATGGATCCAGAAAAGAACAAGTAAATTAGAACTCAAAGAACACATTTTGATGTTCAGAATCCGTAGAAATTAGGGGATTAAACAATATATAAAAATAGAAGTACAGCATCAGACCTTGTACGAGTGACAAATTCATGTTTCAACTTGAAACCATTATCTAGACAACACAACCTTATTTTACATTGACATTGCTTTAAGTTCCACATCAATTACAACTTAAATACAAAACATTTGGATATGCATATAACAAAATTTTCATTTCACTTTTACTCAGTTTCATTCCTTTTGCAACAAGCCTGAGTTCAACATCAACAAATCGTCCATGAAAAAAGAAAAAGTGAAAACTTTGGGATCAAAAGAATACCAGAGTGTTTGTATGAGTTGAGATTGTAGAGATTGTTAGGCTCTTTGCTGAATCGAACGCCAGCAGTTCCTCTTCCGAACTGCTTCACCAAAAAGCAATTGTTCTTCTTCACTACCTCCCAGATTAACTGTCCTGGAACTGTCGCCATTTTCTCTGCACCTCACTGCACCAGATCCACCATAAAAAAAATGCACCCCTTTGTAAGATCTGAAACACTCTAAAACAAATCAAACAAGATAAAGAACGAACTAATAACACAGCGATAAGAATACAAAAAGAACCTGCTGGTTCCTAGGGTTTATTATAGGAAGACTGAAGCCGCGGCCAGAATCAAACAAATCAATCAATTTATGGAATCCTTTTTAGGGTTTTTAGGGTTTCTTCCAAGGTTGAAGGCTTAGTTTTGGGCTCTTTTGGTTGTGTGGATCATATTTTACGGCCCAATTACTTTTGGAAAACCTAGATTTAAAACATGATATAAAATACGAAAATTATCCCTAACCAAAGATTATTTTACTCTTTATTTTTCTTTTTGGAGTTTTTAGTCCTAGTTTTTCAATTTTTTTTTATCAAAATAGTAAAAAATATATTTTTGTTGATTAATTATGAAAATTATTAGTTGATTAACTATGAACATATATTTTTGTTTTATTGTTAATATGTCATGTAATTATTTTGGACCCCAATTATGTTAATTGTATTTTATAAAAATAGTTAAATTTAATTTAATGTGTTAAGGAAAAAAGAGGAAAAAATTGCATACCCATTAATTTTAGAAAAAAGATAGTAAAATTCTGGACCCAATTTTTAAATTTCTGGAATCACCATTATTATCGGGTCAGGGTGAACCGGTCATTCCTATTCACATGGTTGTTCAGAATCGTCGCCGGTGGTAGACCATCCCTGCAATACCGAGCAAGCCGGTCACCTGCTGAATGTAAACTTGTTTTCACACAAGGAAATACTAATATCAACTAAAATATTACCTGCTTCCCATTTCCTAGCTTCATCCTTCTTACATTGCTCAATAGCAATCGTTGGGAGTCTGATTCCAAAATTACATTCATTTCCCAGCTAGCAAAGCATCATCTGCTTCAACTTGCTTTCCCCTACCATCCACAACTCATTTCTTGCAATTACACAAAAACCTGCACTCTAAACATCCACAACCTGCACACTCCTCTTACCAGCATCCCCATTTATTCTCCCAATATCCCAGGAAAAGTCGTGAAACTTCGATGAACAATACTCATGACGGTAATTTTCACCCTCATTTTCATATCACAATCCTTATAAAACCACATGTCAGCAAGCCATATGACAACATTAATCGAACATACAAGTCTACCAACTTATGAGCATATACAAGGGATGAGCTTTAATTTTCAAATGATTGAGACTCTTTAAATACGGTTGAGAGTTTAAACACACACTGCCTTGTATTTCCTCGTAATTCTATATAAAAAAAAACTATCAACATATAAGTACCTAAAATGAAGAGAAAGAAAAGGGTAAATTATACAACTTGTTTTTTCCCAAATCTATTGAATAAACTCGAAATAGAACAAAGAAGGAAAGATGGAATAAGCAGGACAGAAAAATCATCTAAACTAAAAAGAAAGAGGCTTTAGGGATTGGAATAAATTATCAAATCATAGTCCCAAAGCCAACAAAATTGAAAATGTATAATTGCCAAAATTTAGGTTATTCAACCCTAAATCAACCTGAATTCATGGAAAAAACACTAAGTCGTGGATCTTGTCTAATGCCCTCTTTAGGCCTTTGCCCGTCAACTGGTGTTACATTTTCATATATACAAAGCCAGGGAAGACTTGTTCTTCATCATCCTTCATAGTCCTTTTAACAGTTTCCTTCTACAACCACCCAATGTTGTTTGTTCTGTTGGTTTTAAGATAAAAGGGCTACCTACCAGCTGCCGGTTCTAAGTTGAATTTTCAATGCGGTTTTGGATCTCTTACTCATGAATTGCCTGATGTTAAAGATCGGTGTGATGGCAGTGGTGGGCCATTCAATGATTTTTTTATCCTGCTGAAGACTAGCTTCAGAGTGATGCAAGCTATTACAGGACCTTTGGGCTTCATGACAACCGGTTTCTTGACGGCCACACCTAGCTTCTGACCAGTCAATGAAGACAATCTTCTAATCTTCTTGGACAATAGTCTAGATTTCTTTGCTTTTTTTCGTTTACAATGTGGGAATTGCAGTTGCGATTTTATATGCTTTCTAGGAACTCGTCCACCTGAATTTTGCTTCCATGAATGGTCAGGTTCAGTGCACTCCATGGCAACTTCTTGACTCGAATTGTCACAATAAACATTGTTCAAAGCCTCAACTGTCAGAGGATGACCTACTACGGCTTTACCGTCCAGTTTACTCACGAGGGAAACTAATGGAACATGCCGTGGTTGATAGTCAGCTTTCACATCAATCTTAATGTCATATAACGATGAATCGGCAGAATAAGTTTTTCTAGGGAAATCTGTCGTCTGATATCTGGGGTTTACAGTATAACGGGACTGGCGGTACAGATGCGACCTTTGAGGGTTAATGGAACCATCAGTGAGTACTTTTGCCTCCACTATTGACCCTCTCACACAAGGCTGCCGATACTTCCAATCCCTGAACCCATCAAGCTGATCTTCAACAGTTTTGCAGTCAACTTTCTGATCAAAGCCCCGAGAAAATCCATCCAAATGATTTATACCTCCCACATAAGTATTTGGTTCATCAATCATGTCAGCATATTTTCTAGGGTCTTGTTTTTGTTTTTCACTTATTTGTCTTGACTTCCTCTTTCCTTTTAACTGCCACTCTGCAGCACCTTCTTGTGTTCTCTTGCTAATACTAGCTGTTTGAACATCCACCGATCTGGAATAAACAGACTCATTATGCCTCTCAACTTCAGCTTGTCTTCCCATATCACCAACTTCAGGTGTCTCAGATGAACACGATACAATATTGGAGTAAAATCTGCCAGAATCAAAATCGATATATCAGTCTCCAACTCTCCACAGACGAAAAAGTAAATTGTATAGAAGCATAATACAAGAATGAGTAAACGATAAGGGAATCAAGTTCAGGGGGAGACTGCATACACATTGAGTCATCACAAACTGGAGATTTTGCAAGAAAAATCCATAAATGAAACAATCAATAAGGAATACTTCGTCCAACAAAATGTATAATCAGACCATGCACTTAAATCAACATCTTCACGTTAGAAAAGGAATAACAGGCAAAGAAAACAATGGAAGAAGGAAGCAGATCTGCCACTAAACTAACCTTATTTCAAACTGAATCAGTTATACCAGAAACAAATTCTGGTAGAAAAGGTGCACGAAAAGCCAAGGAAAAGAAATCCTTAAACAAAGGGAATCTCATGTCTTTAATCAAACTTAAGAATCCAGGCAAATTGCCATTCAACAGGGGCTTCTAGCAGGACAATTCATGTTATCGGTCAAAATTATGCCCTTATTAACATGCAGTATCCATTTCAGTATTTTAGTGTGATAGCATAAACGTCAACATGTTTAACTTCCAATCCACGACCATGCTAGGTCAATTTTTACAGTTAGAGAATTCATCTCAAGCTTATACAGGTTCTAATGATATAGAGCACAATACCCTTGGCAACACTGATTTAGACAACCCAGCTATGGCAGTTCATTACTTATGGACATTTAGAAGCCCTAAAGAGTCAAACAGGATTGAGTCCAGCTAATTTGATTGGTGAACAAAAATTTTGAATAAGTAGACCAGTTGGTAAACAGTTGCTCCAAATGTTCTGAATTGCCAACACACATATGTATGTGTGTCTTCCTCTGTGTATGTACTTTCAAGGGTACACTACTGCTAAACGCAGCTCTCACTACTACAAAAGCTAAATGCAGGCAGGAATATTCCTAAGGATCCACACAAAACCAACATTATACACACATTAGAAACATAGTGAACAATGACAATTCATGAAATAAAAAATAATCTAAAATATACATTTCCTACCACCCACCAAAACAACACACCCCAAATAAAAGCACAATCAATACGACAAGAATTTATAAAGGTAGCAGGATATGTTACGCAGAAAATGCAGTAATAATAAGAAATACTATAGTTTATAAATGTTTAACCCATAATACCCGCAGATGGTTTATCTTCTCCGAAAAATGGCACATCAAATAGCCTGTCAGAAGATTCATTCTCAGCCAACTCTGGTATGCTCGAAATTTCATTGTTTTTGTCTTATTATTTGTTTGAGAAGCATCAGCAGCATGTTCTAAAACATTTAAGGAAGCACCATCCTCACATGAAATTCCATTGTTATTGTTGTTGTTGATTACTGCAGAAATAGTTTTCCGATATTCATTAGAATCCATTCCAGAAACCTTACTTTCATAAAGTCCCCTACTGAACAAAGTACTTGAGCTTGGAAGTTCATCAAAAGCAACTGGAACTGGAACCATAGCTGTAGTCTCCAAAACCTTGGTCAACGGTCTGCGGCGGTTTTTCCTTTTCAGGATTTCATGAACATTCGCCAATTGAGATCTCTTCCTTTTCAGTGATGAAGAATGATTTCTGCTATCATTTATTGGACCTCCATTAGACAGGCAGTTGCTAGTGCTTGGTCTACAAAATGAAGCATTCTCTTGTTGATCAGACTCAAGCAACCCTGCAGCCTGGACTTTTCTTTTCGATCCCACAATCATGCCTAGATCCTCAAGTCCTATCATACGTTTGATTCCTTCTGCTCCGTCATCGTCTGAATCATTGGGGGTTTTTCTTCTCTTTCCCAGCATAGAGCGCCTCTTAGTACCATTAATAAGATTTGTCTCTTCAAAGGATGTGCAAGACTGTGATAATTCAGGAGCTGAGTTCGAGTCATCCTCAGACCCACTCATTCCATCCTCATTTTCTTTTCCAGAACGTGACATGTTAAGTGACTCTTTGGCCAAACAATCATTATCACCACCAGAATGATATTTCTATTATCACCACCAGAATGATCTTTTCTGTAGAAATAATCTGGATGATCCTTGCCTAAGCGTGCACTCTCAATCTCAAGAGCATGGAGAATAGCATCATCTCATCGAGCATATTTCACTGCCTTCTTGCTAGAACATGCTGCCGAAGCCTTCGCTTTCGCAATACATTTATTATATTCTCCACACCGAAAAGCCTTTACCAGCTTAGACTTTTCAAGATTATACCAGTCCCTAAAGAAAAAAACAATGAAATTTTATCAACAGATAGAAAGCAAAAAGAAGTCAAGCCAAGCACACTAAAGTCATTCCATTCGATGGTGATGAGTGATCATTGACTGAAAGGCTTCCTCTCATTCAATATTTCAACCCTTTCAAAGACCATCAATTCAAGATTTTCTTAATTGGGGGGAGAGAGGATTCAAACATTAATTAAAATAAGAAAATAAAGAGAACGCAGCTCTGACAGGACTTCACCCATAAATCAATAAGCAATGAACAAGGTCTAAAGATAGACATGATGAGATGATAAAGGTAAAACCTTGAATCTAAATCACCAGAATCTAGAAACGAAAACAACAACCAGTTTCACACAACTTGGATAATGTCGGTATTTTTCTATAGCATCAATACATTGTCTCAAGGTCACAAGCTGTGACAATTATGAGAAGAGATGGCTACAACCTCTACTAACTTGGGACAGATCAAACACTGACCCAGTGAACTGATTTAGACATTTATTTTTCGGGCCCAGCTAACCAATGCACATAAGCCAATACCAGTTTAAAGAGACCACAACAGGGGGTTGAAACAAAAATCAGTAAAAGGATTATAAGCTATAACAATACAGACACGCAACCAGTCACTGTATTGCCAATGCTGAGCTTTCCACCATATGGTCCATGAAAGTGCAGAAAGGAAAGGCAATATATATGTCTGCAAGTTCCCCCCCCCCCCCTTCCTCTCCTTCTAAGCATCTGATAATTGATTGGCAACACTAAAAGAAGGGTTCCAAAACTGCTAAACAAAAGGACTTGATTAAAATGCTAAAAAATAAAAGGCCCCACACGCTTGCATCTTCACGACCAATAAGCTTAACAGGAGTACCGGATCTCGGAGATACTAAACAGCCTCCAGGGAGCTCGTCAAGGCCCATAATCCGACCCGGCCACCACGAACCGTTTCTGCGTCGAACACAAACCAAGCCACCCACAAATGCATCAATATCCTTTCTGTTGGGATCATCGGGGCTCCCCATCAGAAACCCCCCCCACCCCCCCAAAAAACCCTTTTCCAACAAATAAATCCTCCTAAAAGTGTTCTAAAAACAACCTGATCTTTAAAAGTCAATCCTTAAAACTCCGTTTAGAGGAAAACCCAGAACTCTAAAATAATAATAAAAAAAGTAGTTGACTGCTCGAACAAATGAATACACCATTCAAAACCTGGAATTTTTAAGGAAAAAAATCATTAAAAAGAAAGCTTATTCCTGCATGCAACTTAAAACGTCAAAGAAAACCCAGAAAAGAGAAAGGCGTGAAAGAGAGATAAAAACCTAAGCTAGCACGAATTTATGCAGAAAAAAGATCTAGATGGCAAAGAAAAAACAAACCCAGATTAAACCAAACAGAAAAAAAGATCCGAGGAAACTTTCTTCTTTCTTCCTGAAAATTACATTGTGTGTTTACATTCCCACTATTTAATTAAATATCCATTTTTCTGTTTTTTCCCTTTATACTTGAACATACTTGCAAGTTCTTTTAACTTCACTTTCTTTGTCAAGACTTGTGTCAAAAGATCTCAGTGGGATTTTCGTCTCTGCAGAGTACAGACTGGGGGATAGAAGGATAGGAAAAAGAAGCCTTTTTACGAAGAAAAGAACAACGGAAGAGGCCTATTTGGACTACGAATCATCAAACAGAAAATCAAGAATTAAAACGCACCTTTTGTTTCCCTTTGGCTATTTTGGTTGAAAGGTGGGAAAATGAAGCCAGAAAAATAAAAAAAGAAAATTTATGAACCAAAATTCGATTGTAAAATTGTTCTGGCAGTGTACTTCAATTGTGCACGTTGGTAACATACGAATGTTTTCCGAACCGCCGATCTGCAATTGTTGGTGAATTCAACGATGTGTATTACTTTCACATTCTAAGCAAATTAGGAAATTTTCAATTATTTATACATAAAATACATTGCACGGTTAGAAAATGAAAAAATATAGAAGACATTATTGGCCTTAACATAATAATAATAATGTTTTATTTCCAATTAATGTTTGTCAAAGTATGTGAGAAACACACTTAACACTGGAGCTTTACAAATTTTCATAGGGAAAGTATTACAGGCAGGCCAAAAAATTAAAATGGTTTCCTATCCCAACCTTACAACTATCATCACACACTGCTCATCCAAATTCCTATTCCAATGAAATTATAAAATAACTCATCCATTTCCATGTCTTGCACTAGGCACTACTACAACATTACATGTATGTTACAATAAGATCAGTCATGCCTATTTTTTTTATCCTGTAATGATTCCAATGAAGATACAAATAAGTTAATAGCTCTCCAGTTTTCTTGCCATGGAATGTAAGTCTCGAAATGGTGGTCATTGGTACTGATCACAATAAATAACTTTGTTTTTCTGTACACATCCTTGATCAGTTATGTCTTGAGCGATGGCCAGAAAGGCGGAGATGACCGCTCCGTGTAGCAAAACCCTGTTAAACGATAACGATGAAAGAGAATGTGAAACAATAGATTGCTTAGAATTCAGAATAACATGATATCAGTAACTACCTATGTCAGTACGACTCTTCTAGTACCCTTGTTGGATGATATTAAGGACATGAGCATAGTAAAAAGATGAATTGTTACCATGTATCCAACACTTGCACCCAAGCCTGAAATAACATACGTTACCAGATCTTAGGTTCTCAAGCAATGTATTTCCAGCTATTATACATTCCAAAGCCTGGCAAGATCTTTAGGGAAGTATAAAGATGATCACCAAATAACCACACTGCATAGATTGGCAATAGAATTTTTCTGGTCCAGAGCAAAACTGTATAATATGTATTGCAGAACTTGACTCGACTTTAATAAAAACAGTCTGATCACAGCATTTTGGTGAAAGAATCTGGTAATACCAGATCTGCAGCATGTTAAAATTTGTGTTCGATTCATGTACCATGCACAAAGGAAAAAGAAAAAAAAATTAATGAGCAAAAGGCTTCAACTATGAAGGTAGCGCTAGTGCTAACGCCGAAAAAAACTTACTTCGGACTTTCTTTTTGATAACCGAAATCATTTGCTGCTTTCAGTGCTCTATTGAATGTCTGTTTCATTGCTTCCTGCGAGTTAATATATACGCAATGAAAACAATCTTCACCAAATTTGGTCATAACTTAACTAGATACAAAACTCAGTCAGAGGTAGCACAAACCTAGCCAAAAAATCCTAAACCAGCATATCTGCCATTCGCTGTTAAAGCTTAAATGATGTTTCTCCTGTTGAAGAGAATGAAATAGTTTTTTTTTATTGGATTTTGGATCTTAAAACCCCATAATTTATGTTCAATTTCCCTTTTGCTATCAAAGCGAGGCTCTCTTCTCCTTTCAAAGCATCATATTCCAATACATATGAGTATGAACAGTCCGAAAAATTCCCGTTATGCTTCAAAAATGCATATATTAAATTCACAAGAATTGAGGGTTTGACCCCTCAACTCTAGAATTGCATATTCTTTTATCATTACAGAATTAAGAAATTATTTCATTAACATTTTTCTTCTTTAGAAGGAAAGTCAAGTCTATTCTAAATTTGAGCAAAAGCAGATGAAAGGAGTGCGTGCATCATAATTAAACTATGATAATAAAGATCGATTTCATCAAGATAATGTTGAAAGTAAAGGTCGCACCCCTCCAGCAGCGGCAGCCATGGCAGGAGCAATGATGACATTAGCCTTCTTCAATAAATCAACTTGCTTCAGGTCTCAGGAGTGCAAGGCATGTTGGAGCCTAGGAAGACCACAATAGCACACGGCTATTAGCTAATATAATTTGAATTATATTTCTTCCAGTGGAAAGATATAAAATGTTTTGCAATTCATATTACAGACTACTACCTTCTACAAGTATACGACAACCTGAATTTACCAAGTTAATGGCATCAGCCTGGTCAAATTCATTTTGAGAACCACAGGGAATTGCGACATCACACCTTTCATTCCAAGGCTTTGCTTCATCATAATACTTCCACCGAGCATATATATCCGATTTGCTTTGCAGCAGTTGGTTAATCACTTGTTTCGACAGTGCTCATCGGCAATGACGGTATGGATAGCAGTGGTAAAGTCAGAACGACTTCATGAATTTATTGAAATGAATTTTCATGCATGGATGGCCATGAATCTTGGCGATGCTAAAGATTTTATCCGGCAACCTGCTAACTGGGATATTATTTTCGGGGCATTAATCTGGCATATCTGGCTATATCGGAACTCTATAGCGTTCAATGTGGAGGTGGATGACAATAGATCAGTGATTGAACGGGGCAAACACTTAACGGAAAATACTTGCCGTGCATTAATGGCGAGGACGCTGCATGGTCCTTCATCATCGAGCTGCAGAATTGCAAATGAAAGAAGAGCAAGATCAAATCTTAACTGGACGAGAGTTAACTCAGATGGAGCTAGAAATCGAGAAACCGGAGTCACTGCCTGTGGAGGAGTTATTCGCAGCGCCGAGGGAGAGTGGAAGATGGGATTTGCCAAGTTCATCGGAATTAGTTCGATTTTTGATGCTGAGCTTTGGGGAGCGTATATAGGACTCTTACGTGCTTGGGAATTGCAGGAAACTCGAGTTGTACTAGAGATGAATAGTTTGGAAGCATCGGCCGCAATCAAAGCAGCGTATAGAGATGGATTGAATGGATAGTACAATTACAGTATATACCCCGGAACAACAATAAGGTCGCGGATATGATGGCGAAGCTAGCAGATAGAAGAATCCATGACTGTGTTCATTATCTCTCTCCCCCGTCAGAGATCCAAGCAATCCTTCAGGATGATATAATGAGCACTGTAGCTGCTTAGTTATATTCTTTCTTCACCGAAAAATAATTAAGTCAAAGATAAAACAAATTATGGCAACACATTTCGCATTCAATGATGTTGACATTAAATTAAGTGGGAGAATGAAGCAAAGTCAGAGGCTTCTTACTCTTCAAATTGGTGGCCGAATGAAATACCAAAAGAACTTAGGGTAAAATACATAAATGGTCCCCCAACTATAAATGATATTGTGTTGAGTTCCATTAATTATTAAAAGTTACAAAACTATCTCCTGACTATAGGGTGTTACTTTTTTTAGTCTTTCGACTATTAAAAGTTACAAAATGGTTATTTGACTATTCATATGTTTTAAATTCATCATTTTTTGTTGAAAATTTGACAGTCGTCCAAGCTGGATGTTAAACCGCCGACTGAAATATAATAAATTTGATCCCAAAAATTATTTGAATTATATAGACGGTAACCCGCTGACTGAAATATAATAAATCTAATCCCAAAATTATTTGAATTATATAGTCGTTTGAGATTTTGAGATCATATTTTATCATATCTCAATCAGTACATTAATATCCAATTCAGACAATCATTAATTTTTTAACGGAAAAGGATGAGTTTGAAACATATGAGTTATCAGATGACCGTTTTATAATTTTTAGTAGTCGGGAGACTCTACAAAGTAGTATCCTAGAGTTAAAGGACTATTTTATAATTTTTAATAATTAAGGGACTTAACAAAGTAATACCCTGTAGTCGGGAGACTATTTACCTACTTTACCCAATAATTTATTAACACATACTAAGAATATCTTTAATTTTCACACAAATTAAATTAAAAGAATCGACTCTTTTAAACAGCATCCATAAATAATCGTCGTATAATTATATTAAATTCAATTAAATTTAAATTCTCTATCGTTTCCAACTAGTGACGACAAGTAGGAGTCCAAGTTGCCAATTGCCAGCAGTATAGGAGGACCAGCATACACAAATTATGCAACTTTATCAAAATTTTCATTTTAGTCCTTTAAAAATTACGACCCTCCTTTCTCCAAGAAACTTGCTTCCAGCCATTTTTTTTCATTTTTCTTCCAAGCCTAATAATTTCTCCAATTTGTTGTTCCACTTGCGAGCACAGATTTAAATAGTAGTCTGTAATCGTGATAGTGTATGTGATATAGCAGTAGCGGTTTTTACCGCATTATTTGCAATCCTCATAATAACACACATTATATTCATAATAATGACAAACATGACTTGACGTGACTAAAAACGCGATTACAACCGTGGTTTGAATCCCTACTTACGAGATTACAAGACATTGTCAAACCCAAAAGGGTGGTCCAATAACACAGTATAGTGGGTGGACCATTAAGGTCACCAAGAGAATAACTGAATAAGCATTCCATATAAACCTTACAAGTAGCATATTCTTATTATATATATATATATATATATATATGATAATCATGAATCATTCTATATTTATATAATTTTTATATGTTAATAATTTGTATTGTAAAAGTGTTAACATGGAAGTATTTGTATTATATTTGTATATATATTTTTATAATCATCGATATTCGATTCATTAGTCAATTAATTTGAATCGACTATTATAAAACATCATTATGAAAATGACAGTTTCAGTCTAATTTATTTCAGTCACAACGTTAATATTCGAATTCAGATCTTTATTTAAGAGATCTAACGTCTCATTACTCTACATCAATCGAAAGATAAGACCAATTTAATAACTAAGTTCAACTCCTTTTAGTTAAAAAAGCAATCCCATGTGGAATATGTTTCATTTCATATATTTTTATGAAAAGACCATGTACTATGCATAATTTATTGATTCGATTTATATATTTAATTTGTTCGATTTTGATCCTTTTACTTTTCCAATTCTAAAACTCGACCACCGCAATATAAAGGCAAAATAATTAAATTACAAATACTTAAAATGATCACAGGAAGAACATGAATTAAATTTAAAACTTACGCATATATGTAAAATTTAATTTAATTTCATTAATAATTATTTTAAGTCAATATCAGAATTTCAAAATTTAAAAAGTACACATAAATAAAATAATAGTTTGATTGATATATTAATTATTTTTACAATTAAAAAAAAGATACTTGAAATATCGAAGTGAATATAGCTTGCAAGACAAAATATCCAATGCATGCTCCACTTGAAAATGGGGAAATGTGGTGAATTTTGTCAAGTTGTGAAGATGTGACATCGAAATAAGAAATAATATACAAATGAAGGGGAGACTTAAAATTTGTCCACCTCTTTAAAGACAAAATCTTTCAACATTTTGACTATAACTATGGAGGCCGGATTTTCTCTATCCTTTCAATTCATTAACACCCAAACAACAAAATTGTCAAATCTCCGCATAAATGCCTCAGTAACCAATAAAAACAATTAAAATTTATTTATTAAATTTTATATAATTCAATTAAGATTCTCATTATTTCGTGACGTCATAATTAATTATACACTTAATATGTGTTGCAAATATAATGGTTTATTATGAAAGATATAAAAGATAAAAGTAAACTAAATATTGAATAATACTTATGGATGATAGTTGAATTTTATATGTTTGTTAAATGAGTTATTATCATCAGTATTGATTATTAATCAATTGATCCCATATTACTGGTAGTTCATATAATTATATGAACTAATAGTTTATCAAATAAAAATTTTATTCAAACACAAATTAAATATAATATCTTATCTCAATATAGCAAAATATGATTTATTTATAAAATTATAATTAGTAAATAGTTAAAAGAATATATATATCTTATCTCCGGAAAGTTGAACCTGGAGTGTAAATAGAAAGATGAGGCCAGCCATAGCTATCGCCACTCCAACAACTTGTTTCCCCGCCACCCAAATAACTCTCCCCGTTATTACTGCCCTCTCCCAATCCCGGATTCCGATCCGAACTCTGATTCGTACCACGACCCGAATCCAAATCTCCACCATAATTATGCCCCGCTCTTAAACCCGACCCATTTGAGCTGGACCCTTCTAGAAGGTTTCCGAACTGTCCACTCGATGTCAACAGCGAGCTGAAGCTCCCTCCGATTTCCATCATCTTCCCGTCCTGATTATCAACCGGCAAGAGATACATCCGGGTCGGGTCGATCTCGGAATCCGAATTCTGAACCCCCGAGTTCAAAGCAACCTGCTGGGGAAACATCGACGCTGATGACGACGTCGGCGGCGGAGAGAGGTCAGGGATTTTTGGGTTTTGGATCGGGTCGGAAGATGGGTTGGGGTGGCGTTTCGTGTTGGAGGAGGAGGAGCGTTTGGTGGTCTTGCGGGTGCCGCCGCCGACAGGGATGTTACGAAGGGCGCCGCCCTTGGTCCAGTAACGGCGGCAGTTCTTGCAGAAATGGCGGGGCTGAGATAAGTTGTAGTTGTTGTAGTAACAGAATTTGGTGTTGGAGGAGTCGCAGCGCGGGCATTTCAGCTGCTCTTGCTCTGGAAACGCCGGTGCTTTCAATTGCTGAAAACCCGTCGGGCCTTGCATTTCAATCAAAATCGCTAGACAGTAATTAGGGTTCGTGGGCGTCGAATTTATGAGGAGGGTCTGAACGCAGCCTTCTTCTGTTTCAAAGAACCGAAAAGGTGAGAACTTTTAAAGCTTGTGAAGTGGCGAAACGGGACAAAGACAAGACCGGAACGATATTTTGTTATATATATATCCTGTTTTCAGACCAAAATATTGGGATTTATACAAGCAAGGAATATATGTAAGAAAAAGAAGAATAAGCTAGAAATCTCTGTCTCTGTGTCTGAACTGAGAGTGACCACTGAGACTTCAAATAGGCAGAAGAGTCCAGACCATTCACTTCTCGTCTTTTGAGTTTTGATCCACCAAAATAGAATTTAAAAAAAAAAGTAAGCTTTGAGTAATTAATTAAAATTTAAAAGGTAATCTCAAAGTTAATTTCTTTGATTTCACTTTACTTTTGTGCAAATATTTTATGGGTTGGAGAGACAGCGGGTGTCAACGGAAATGATTAACAGTGTCTCATTAACCTTCATATGTCAACGGAAATGATTAACAATGTCTCATTAACCTTCAACATATGATTTACTTTGGTAATCTGGTTGGTTAGCCAATTACAATATAAATATCATAAAGACCCAATTATCTAATTTTAGGGTTAACTACACATATGATCACTTATATTTATTTTTGTCCTATTTTAGACATTGATTTAAAAAAAACCAATATGGTGAGAAGAAAGAGGAGTAAAATGTGAACATTTTGATATCAACAATGTAACCAATAACAATCGAGGCCTAAAATTAAACTTTTTTTTAAAATTTAGTGATAAAATCAAATATATTATGAAAATTCAGATTCTTAAGCGATGTTGTCTTAAGCATCAATAATCGAATCATAATGTTAAAATTTAATTGCCCAATAATATAATTAAAGTTAAATTAAGATTTAATCACATGATTAAAATACTTAATTATGCAATATTATGAATAATATACCGTCTGAAATTCAAAGCTCTATGATATGGTTTATCCAAAAGATAAATTAAACACTAAGGCAATATTCACAACAATTTAACTCAATTCCGAACATAATTTTATTTATTTCTAGGGTAAAGATATTACCTTGTTGAATCTCATAACTATTAAAAGTTACAAAATGATCCATCAATTATAAGATGTTGTTTTATTGAGTTATTGACTATTAAAAGTTATAAAATGATCCTTCAACTATAGGATGTTGTTTTATTGAGTCTCCGACTATTAAAAGTTATAAAATAATCACCTCACTATTCATATGTTCTAAACTCATCCTTTTTCGTTTAAAAAATTGACACTGTTTAAGCTGAACGTTAACATATCAACTGAGATACCAAAAAAGTTGATCCTAGAACCGTGTAAATTGTATTTTATGGATCGATTATATGTTTATATTATATCGTCAAGTTAGTGTTTAAAACATTATATTGTTTAAATTGTATTATGTGTTTGAGAGTAATGATGGTGCCAATAAACATAATAAAAATTAATTTTATTACATCTCAACTAACATGTTAAGTTTTAGCTAAGATTATCATCAATTTTTTAACATAAAATGATTATTTTAAAATATATGAATAGTTAAATAACTTAACAAAATAACATTATATAATCAAAAAAAAATTATATTATAAATTTTAATAGTCGATAATAATTCCATAACATTTATAACGAGAGGATGATTCGTGGGAGTACATTAGGACAGGGGGTGAGGTGTTACGGTGACAGCTAAATAAAATAAGCGGAGGAAAATATTGAAAAGTTATGAGGTGGGCCCATTTACTCTGTAATTTACTGTTCTGTCGTTTATGTTGCCGACGTGTCCTTCATCAACATAAACATTGGATAACCCCCCTTTTTTTAGCGGGATGGCAACAAGAACTGTTTTGGTTAAACTCTTCTATTAGTCCCTAAACCGTTCAATTATTTCAATTCAGTTCGTTCCTTTAATTTGTTCATTTTTAGTCCTGAACTTTTAAAATTTTGATGTTCCAATTCCAAATCAAAACAGTAGGTACGAAATATATTAAGTCTAATCCCGGCAGTTGAAGACTTATGATATCTAAATTACTCATGATTTATTAATCCTTAGATCGAGACATAATCTTATGAATATTATAACAACAGTATCAATCGAATCAATAGTAAATCAATTTAAAAGTATTAATTACTCTTTAATCATACTCATAATATTGGAACTCATTTAAAATAATCTTTTTAAAACAAAAGGAACATTTAGGAAAATGATTGAACAAAGAAAGCGACGAAACTCGGGGAAGAGAAGATTGATCAATACAGGAGGGCCCATCTGAAAAATTGATGAACGGCTATGATTAGGGGAGATAGCATGAAGGAATGATGGGGAGTAGGGCCAGGGAGGCTTGATGATGGGGCCCAATAAGCCTAAAGTGAGTTATTGGGCCTTCATGTAAAGCTTTCCTGTCGTTCCCGGCTCTAATACCATACCTCAAATCTCCCCTCTATTAGGGTTTTATTCTTTTTCTTCTTTTAATATTTGTTTATACACTTGTATTCGAATTGGTAATTGATTAATTCAGATTAAATATTTTAGAATTTGTTACGGAGACTGACGTTTCCGATCTGGTTTATTCTATCTAAAATATTAGAATTCAAACCCTGAACAATATGTAAAGAATTTAAACTTTAATTTAAAATAATAACAATGAACGTGAACCAAATTATCTGTGGTTAAACGGATCGTTATCCCTAGAGATCTCAGGTTCGAACACTAGAGACTACAAAAGTGATTAAACTTTCACTGTCAAACGGCTATGAATTTTCAAAACTGTAATCACCCTAGATTAATAAAAAATATTGGAGAACTTAAAAACAATTCAGAAAATAAGAAATTAAAAACAATTGGATTGCTAGTTTAGACAGATCCATCCCACCAAGAATTTTTCTTTTCAGTAAAAAGGGGGGGGATGAAAACTTTACCTTAGAAACCTAGTTGCAATTACTGAACATATAGTTTCGTTGTAGGAGAGCTACAATCACATTTTCTGCTAACTTCAACCCAACACAAATTAGAAACATTACTCCCTCTTTCTATTTTTTCTCTCTTAAAGATTAGGGATTCAAAAAGGATCTTTCGGGGTTCGGGAGGAGAGAACAAGAACCAAGCCGTCGTCCACTGGGGAACAACGACGGGTTGTTTCTTCTTATCTGTAAGAGCCATTTCTTGACCTTGATACCATGGCATGTGCTACAGGTTTTAGGGGCATCAGAGTGTTAGAATCGATGTGTAACCTTTAACTTACCGGAATTTGGGGGAAAGCAAAAGGAGCTTGTCATCAGCAACCCGAAAAAAGTTAGACCAAGCAAAAACGTTTCTTGGACCATAGCTATGCATAGTACATGTACAAGCTGTTTGCAGCAGCACAGGCAATTGAGTTTTCGGTCGGGTGCCATGCTAGGTGCAGCAACTTTGATGTGAAATCGAAAGCATTTCCATTTGCATCAATTCCTGAGGTTTCGGCTCCTGGTACGACAAATTCACCCAAATAAAAAGCGCTTCAGTACGAATCATCAACCCTTCATACCCAAAGAAACAACTCAAATGTTGGAAAGTTGTAAAACAAAATGATGTAACAACAGATCATGACCTCGTCTGACAACTCGTGCTATATTGCTTAGGGATCTGGAAGGCCTTGAGGGAGTCTGAATCTGTCTCCTGAAAAGACATAGATGTTTATAACTACTATATAACATCAATAGAGAGATCATAATTCACATTGCACGGAAGCTCGAGTGAATATTTTACCTCATTGGATTTTTACTGGCTTCCAAAGTTGTTGCCTCTGTGCTTCCAGGGGCACAACCGAACACACGGAATAGATTGCTGATATCACAGAGGAATTTTAAATATTATGTTACATTGAAGAAGAAGAAGTCAACAACAAAAGGCTACACATGATGGCTTTGCTCAGAACAGACCTGTAGGAACCTGTTGCCACTCGCAATCCATCTCCACTTAGGCAACACTCAAATTTGTCGAACATTGAATCATTTTCATACAAATCACACAACTGAAACAATTAAAAACGCCATAATCAGCTGTCACAGCAAGTCCCAAATACGATTAATTTCATCTCTTTCAGAAGATAAAAATAATACCTTAGGTCTCAAATATTCATGAACCTGGAACATTGCAACTGGACCTGAATCCATATTGATGTCCCAAAGCTACAACAAAGTGATACGTAATCAAGTTACATGACAAGTCGTATGACCCCCATTGAAAAGGAAACATCAAATATATGTTATACAGAACAAAATCGATAATCAAGTTCCAAACCACCATCAGAAAGTATTACAGCCGAAATGAAATAGGAAATATGGCAAAAATTTCAACATAAAAATAAATGTTTTGTATATAATATTAAGGGTTCTGATACAATATGGTAAAAGATCAAAACAATGAAACAAAAATGGCATGTGATTGATTCAAATAGGGAATGGGAACAAAATCAGAAACATCAGTTTAGTTTTAAAACATTCAACTTGTATATACGTGCTCAAATACTGAGTAGAAGAAACTAAAAAAACATTTACCCTCAGCCCACCTTTTCACATCTTCGTGATAATTTCCCTATGAGAAACAATTTTTTTGAGTGTCTGATTCCTAGCCAAAATGCCAACAAAACAAATTGTTGTATCCATTTTAATCAAGTGCCATTAAGTGTTTACAAACTAGAATCTTTAGACTTACAATTGCAGCCAAATGTAATTAGAGCTTCACACATTCTACACATCACATGGTACCAATTGTGATTGAATTCTATCAATGTCTTATAGGATAAGCCATGGATAATTACATCAGGGATAAATCCATCATGGCATGCTTAAGAAAAAATGCATGCATAATGTGATGCTTATGCAATGCAAAGTATAATTTATATGTATCAAAGGCAAACACAAGAGAAGAAGAAGAGGAAGAGGGAAACATAAAGAAAAGGAACCGAGTCCACACCTTAAGAGTCATGTAATCACGGCCAAGTATATCTTCCGTCTTTTGCAAATTTGATATCTGAGATTGAGGCGATTATCTCAGTAAAAAATGATCTAGAACCAGGTGCCTCAGTTT